AAAAATTTGGTTGGTTGTTCTTTTTCACTGTACGTCCGCAGACACATTCTGACAGCACTTCAGACAGCAGCTTTGTGCCCCGCCAGCTTCTTGTTCCATGCCTACCATGGTGTTTTTGTACAGACAGCACTTCAGACAGCAAGTATGCTGTAGTCGGCAATCATTCGTTTTGGTACAGAGTGGGACAGGTAGGGGGTGATGTTGCTGTAGTCGAACGGTGAGACGGACGTGTAGTTCAGTTTTGGGCACGCGTACGGTGCTGCAGGGATTATATATAGGTGTAGTAGTACCTCTTCGGGCTCTTGGATACCTTTTTCTTGCTACGTGTGCGTGTTCTTTAGATCCTCAGATGGCTCTAGCACTTTCGTGACCACGGGCTGAGAGTCTTTGCTAGATTTTGGCATTTAGCAACTGGCATACGGTTTACTGTGAAGTCAACAACAACAACAACAATGGAGTGCGTATTGACGCGCGAATCGTTACGTTTTGGTTTCCTTGTACTGTAGTAGTGCCAGGTACGAGATATTCCCAAGGAGGCTTTTCGCGCGGCAACCACAATAAAGTGACACCTATGTGGATATCTGTTGGTCGGCAGCATGACGTAACAGGTGCACGACACGCGCATGGTTGGACGCATCGCACTGAATTGTGCTTCGTCGTAGAATGAGGCATCCCATCCAGTCGAAGTCGTCCCGGTAGGCAAACGTTCGTGATCGATGTCTGGATCATTCTGCTGTACCCAAAGAATAATTCGAGCTACCGTATTCTTCCCTCTGATGGCCACGGACGAGCGAAAACAACAACTAGTTTTTCGTCGCGAAGGCAACGCCATAGCGGTTGACATGCGCGACACAGAGGTTTTGCTGTCGCGTCCATCCCACGGAGTGACAGCCGGATGTGCGTTTGGTGCTCCCTAGCGGTTCTTGCGACTTCTGAACGGGAGACAAACCAACAGGAAAACGAGCACCTGATTTCTGAACGTTCGATTTTTTTCTTCAGCTGAATCGCTGGCTGTTCCATAACACGGCCACATCATCGCAGATGGTGCTGCTGGGATACAGCGAAGATAACGAAAACCCGCGTGCACGCAACAAGAACAAGTCCGTTCGAGATCGCGGTAGCAGGTATTCGGAAGTTAGTGTGCAGTAACCACATGGCAAACGACAAAAATGGCCCACAAGCCAATCAACAGAATGGTTGACGGAACGCAACAACAAGGCAAACGACTAAAAGGGCCCACAAGCCGATCAACAGAATGGTTGACGGAACGCCATCGCTGTGTGTGCCGATCTCGCTTGCTTGATCTACGAGGGCAGACATCCTACCACAGGGTCAGGTACCACTAGATCCCGGCGTCTTTTGTAGGGGCAACGTGGTGGCAAGCAATGTCAAGCAGAGCCTCCTCTGTTTCCCGGCAGCAGCATTTGTGATGACAGGCAACGTTTTCAATCCGTTTCAACCGATTTCACATTTCCACATCAGACACCGATTGCTGTGGCAGCAGCAGCAGCAACAACAACAACAACAACAAGTCTCAGCCTCCAAGGACCGAGAAAACTGACTGCTTTGCTGGCCCCACGCTCGTCACGTGTGTCCGTGGGATTCGTTCGCCACCGCTTTTGTCACTTACGCATACATGTGCGGTTTGTGCATCTGTGTTGATTTCCTTTTCGCGGTGCCCAAGGACCGATTCTCGAGGTTGTTGTTGTTGTTTGTTGTTGTTTCTCACATAAGGTCTAAAAAAAAAGATTGGGAGCCCGTGGTCTCAAAACCCGGCATACACGACCCCACGAAGAAACAGAAAAAAATAGGGTACAAAAACCACTCGGAAGAGAAACAAAATGATAGAAAGAAAGACCAGCTACCGCAC